TTCTTATCTTCACTCGAGTGGCATTCGAGTGAGAAAGCTACCAGTACCGAGTGACTCGAGTGAAAAAAAATCACTCGAGTCCCATCACTAGATGACATTGACAACTGTCATTACGACAGTGAATACTGACATCTTGACATCCGTTCAGAAATTCCAAACCACAGAATTCATACCAATCATACTAATATAATAAATGCGAAAGTTAAGATATATGGATGGATGGATGTTTGTCAGTGTTTGTAGCCTAAACGGCTGAGCGGATTTGTATGAAATTTGGTATAGATGTAGAAGATATTCGTAGGTTGCTTTTGTTTTATTATTTTAATTCCACGCGGACGGAGTGGTGGTCATAAGCTAGTACAAAATAATTCCTTTTAAGAAAAATCAATTACATTGATATTAAAGAAATTCTTTACATCTCCTCTACTCCTTGGAGAAAAAGTTATAAATTATATTAGTTAATTCAGTTCTCAAACACTGAAGATAGTTGGGTACTGTAAATGACAAAGCTTTAGTGGTATTTTCTTGTGTCTAGTATTGGCTTCATAAATCGAATTGGAAACTTTCAAAGTTTCAAAGCATTATACGCTCTATTCTTAATTCATCAATTTTCTTCCTATTTACACAATTTCTGTTCTCCACGTAAACTTTGTCTCCTATTGTGGCAATCGAATATTTTGTTACTATTAATGTAAGATTTCAGAGCGTTTTCTATCTTTTTCTGGTTCATGATTTGTACATTTTTATTTGATTTGAATAGTAGAACACTTATATTTTCACATTCCAGTTTGGAACAAACTTCGTCATAGTGCATTCCATTTAAATGTATTTTTGTGGATTGCATTTTCACAAGTAATATTTTTAAACATAATTTGTTGGTGAAGAATTATGGTGACCATGCAAGTCTATCCAATTCTAGTTCAAGTACAAAAAACTTAAACATTTATGCATTTATTTCTTCCTTTTTCTATTAAAATAACTTTGTTGTAATTTCAGATTTAAGATATAAGGAATAAGGTGGAGGTCTATTGAAACACTTGTATTCACATATTCAACTAGTATATTTGCAGTATAAAAACAGTCACATATTTAATAAAGTTTTATGTTTACATATGTTGCCCGGTATGTGTCGTGATGAGAAGTCTCTGTTTACAAACACCAAATATAGAATTCTTTATAAAATTTAAATACACTATTCCAATAATCAAATCATCCTTCCTGTGCAAGGTGTTGCCAGCCAGTAACATAACATAAAAACTTCAACACACCCCCTCAACACTTTGCACAGTTTTACCCCCTGTATAATATTTAATACAATATGCCAAAAATAAAATATTCACTAACATGACTGTAAATTTACCCATACCACCATAAATACCTATTTATACACATTATTAACATTTTATAAACTCATGAAATTAGTACAACAGAACATAATAAATTTAATAAATAAAAAATTCTATCTCATTTTATGCAAAATTATTAACTCCCATCAATCAAACATTATTTATATCAATCTCTTATAAATATTGCCATCTCAAATTCCTCCTTACTTGCACACTCCTACTCGACTAAACAAATTATTTTAATTAATCAACTCGCTACATAAAACTTCAATAAACATACCTTTAACTCTTTATCAACTTCCTATATAATAAAATCTCAATCACTATCTACTCTGTTGTAAATGAAACCTACTTTATGTAGAGGTTGCAGTGTATGGCTGTCTGGGATAATTTAAATAATGACATATGTTTAATTTTAAGTTAGTTATTCAAAAATAGAGAAAAGAACATGTTTTGTATTGTATAAAAATAATATCTTATTTTTATACACAATTGTATTAATATTAATTTAAATGAGAATAAATAATAACCTTTATTTATTTTATCATTTTGTGTGCTGGTGAAGCAAATTCCTTTCATACTCAAAACCTATTACTATTACTATCCATCAGCCACTAAATT